TACTCTGTTCTCTATCTGTAAAATAGTGATTATGGTTCTCCTTAGTGCACAAGGTACTCTGTGATTTACCAGTTATGTGCTAAAAAACCTTTCCAAAATGTGTTAGGAGGATAAGGATACATCTCTGCAATTTTGGATACTATGAAGCTATTTCAAAGCCACAGAATTTACTAGTATAAAATGAAAAACTTACTCAAAGAAATAAAATGAAGTAATCTCTACATCGAGATTTTTATTTTTTTACTCATTCCAAATAAATACACTGCATATGCGATTCCATTTACATTTTATATGAACTGCCTTTTTGCAGAAGGAACAGTTACATCATAACTATCACTATCCTATAGCACACTGGTGTTTAGCCCCTAACATTAAAAGCAACTCTAAATGGTTCGGTTTGTAAAATGTTTTTTTTCATTAATGTTACAGTGCCCTCTATGTTTCAGAGTTTGCACTGAGGGTAATATTCTTTGAATGGTTAATAAATATGTTTTTTTCCCTTTTTGGGAAAGTGTAAATTTACCATGTTAATTCTTTTTTAATGGTAAGTCTCATAAGTCTCATCAAAACAAACAAGCAAACAAACAAATGAAATTACAAGTTTTATAAACAAAGAATGAAATAGAAATTTGAATTTGAAGTTGTTAGTCTTCTTGCAAATAGCCATCACATATAATTTTCTGACATTAAAAAAACAAAAAGCAGAGGTGGTTTTTTTGATGGGAAGATGGTTCACAAATATTTTTCAAACTCTACAATTAACAATTAAAATGTCTCAAAAGTCATAGCGTATTTGCTTTCAGCAGAAGACCATAAACAATCAGTTATATGTTTACTGCATATATGAAATACTTCAAGAGGCTTCATGATGAAAGGGAAACACAGATGAATGATGAGACACTGAGATGTATATGCCCTCCTGTCCACTGAATCTCTATTACACAGATCTGACCAGATAATATATTTGAAAGGTAAAAATGGGAAATTTTCTTCATATTGTTTAAAAAATTTTCACAGGTACATTAGGAAAAGAAACTGTGTATGATTCTTCCCTAATACTAGGAAGGAGAATATCTCTTTGGAACATTTCTTCTTTACTGAGAGTTTTTCTAAAAGAGAAAAGAAGGAAAAAAACATAAACCAAAAAATCTTTCATAAGAACTACTGTACTTACATTGTACGCAGTGGGATCAAGCTATTAAATACAAACTATAAGCAGTTATTCTTGCACCAGGAAACCACATTAATTATTCAGTCAAGAGGGAAGAATAATTGTAATGATGGCATTAAACACACAGAGACGATAGCCTGAGTCCAGGTAGAAAGCATGATGAAAAGAAACATTAATTTAAATTTTTTCACCTTACTTTGAAATACTTCAGTTCTACAGTCTTTCTCCATTGGTTTTCAGTCTCTAAACACCTTTGCAGGAAAGAATGGGAGAACAACAGGATACTAACCCCAATTTATTTTTTTTCAACTGTTGTTACTATTTAGCGTTCATAATATTTCTGAACTTCTAGGAGAATTTCTCTTGCTTAACAGTGGGCTGAAATGAGCCCACAGTCAACTGAGTTGTTTTAAATATTTCATGGCAACATTTTCCTGAAGCTTATGAAGACAAAGAGGAGAGGGATAGAAAGGTTAATATATTTTACTTCAGGTGAAATGTTGCTATAAAGAAAATAACTTTGCTGAAAATCAAGGCTTTTTGAATTAATAGATGTCTTAATGTTTTCCAGAGGAAGGTTCCTGAAATCATTTTTGGTGAAAAATATTTAAAAGCCAAAGCAAAAGGCAGTTTCTAGATACATTACAATAGAGACTTACTGAAACTGCCTCACATTCTCTTTTGGAAATGCCAATATTCAGTGAATACTATGAATCCTTAGAAATAGCACAGTTCCATTACTGAGGATGGAACATTCTAACTGCCCAAGGAAAATTCATTGGTTTTTTATTCTTTGTACTCTATATGCTTACAGAAATGTGCGATGTTGTACAGCAACTACCTGTTATGCATTCCTGTTCTGAGTAAAAATGCCACTACCTCAGGAACCTCAAGGTTCTGTTTTAATCAAAGAATCACAGAATATGCCAAGTTGGAAGAGACGCAACTGCTGGCCCTGAACAGGACCATCCCTCAGAGTCACACCACGTCCAGTATTGTCCAAAAGCTTCTTGAACTCTGTCAGGCTTGGTGCTGTGACCACTTCCCTGGGGAACCTGTTCCAGTGTCCAACCACCCTCTGAGTGAAGAACTTTTTTTCTAATATTCAATCTAAATCTTCCCTGATAGAACCTCAGGTCATTCCCTTGGGTCCTGTCACTGATCACCACAGAGAAGAGATCAGTGCCTGCCTCTCCTCTTCCCTTCACAAGGAAGCTGTAGACTGCAATGAGGTCTCCCCTCAGTCTCCTCTTCTCCAGGCTGAACAGACCAAGTGACCTCAGCTGCTCCTCAAATGGCTTCCCCTCAAGGCCCTTCACCATCTTCACTGCCCTCCTTTGGATGCTCTAACAGCTTAATATCTTTCTTATATTGCGGTGACCAAAACTGCACACAATATTCAAGGTGAGGCCTCCCCATTGCAGAGCAGAGCAGGACAATCCCCTCCCTCGTCCCAGCACTTTCCCCTCCTCTCCTGATTGGCTGCTGAGGGCTTCCAGGTTGTGGGTCTGCTGTTTGGGTGCTCCTGGACTCAGGAACCTCCCTGTACAGACAGCTCTCACCCCCTGCATCTCCCCTCACTCCTTCTCACTCCCCTCACACTTATGGCCTTCTGTCAAGCGAATGACGGTGCTTTGGTATGGTAATGCATGTAGAACTGCAAGCTTTTATTAATTATCTCTGTGTTCTTTGCCTACTCTTTGCCTAAGTTGCTGATGACTTGACCCTTGACTTTGTTGACTATCTCCTTCTCCATATTAGCATCAAGTGGCTTTGGCACTATTTCCAACTGTTTGAGATTCAACAGGGTGAAGTGTACCTGGGTCACAACAACTCCATGCAGTGCTACAGGCATGGGGAAGAGTGGATGAAAAGCTGCCCAGTGGAAAATGACCAGAGGGTGCTGGTCGACAGCAGCTGAAAATGATCCAACAGTGTGCCCAAGTGGCCAAGAAGGCCAATGGTATCCTGGCCTGTATCAAAAATAGTACCTCCAGAAGGACCAGGGAAATGATCCTACCTCTGTATTCAGGACTGGTGGAGCCATACCTCGAGTCCTGTGTCCAGTTCTGGGCCCCTCATTTCAAGAAGGACATTGAGGTGCTGGAATGTGTCCAGAGAAGGGCAATGAAGCCGGTGAAGGTTTTAGAGTACTAGTCCTTCAAGGAGCAACCGTGGGAACTGAAGTTGTTTAGCCTGGATAAAAAGAACCTTGGGGGGGCAATATCACTCTCTACAGCTACCTGACACTTGTAATGAGGTGGTTACTTCCAAGTAACAGGAGACAGGACAAGAGAAAATGGCCTCAAGTTGTGCCAGGAGAAGTTTAGACTGGATATTAGGAAAAATTTCTTCATGGACAGGATTATCAAGCATTGGTTGACAAGAAGTGACTTCCTTCTTTTTCTTGCTTTCTTTCTATCTACAGTCATGCTTTAAACCCCACCATCAAATAAATGCCACACAATCACTCTCCTACCTCCCTCCTCAGTGGGGGGGCAGAATTGGAAATAGAAGACATAAGAATAGTTTAATAATTGAAATAAAATAAAATGTAATAATAATAATAACAATAATTATATATTATCTTTTCAAGTGTCTACTTAAATTGATTTGAAAATAGGAAATGTAAATGAAGATTGGAAAATGTTATCTCACTCATTAGTATGAAAATCAGAAGACTAATGTAATTTTACGTGAACATTTAAGTACACTATACAGACCTTGAGATTAGCTCAGTTGGTTAAAACTTGGTGCTAATAATGCCAAGGTCATTGTTTCAATCCCCTGTATGGGCCATTCACCTAGGAGTTGTACTCGATCGTCCTTGTGTCTCCCTTCCAACTCAGAATATTCTGTGATTCTACACAAAACCAGCAGTGACAATTTATTCAACCTATTGATAATTATACATAGTTATACACTTTAGAGCTCAGGACCCCCATGAAGTCTACTAAGACTTTTTTTACTTACCCTATGAGAAAGGAGATGAAAGATCTCTGCTAAGGCAGTGACATAGTCTTCTAGGAGAGGCTGCTATCTTTTCTTGCTATGAAGACATAGACTAACACAAAACTTCTATAACCTTCCCATATATGGCAGTCAGTGAATGTTTTCTTCATTAAATGAATAAAGAGAAGTGTTTAGCTACTATAAGTATGAAAGAAGAAAACCTTCTGAAAGCAAGATGGAGCAGGAAAGAAACTAGGAAAATGTCAACCAACAGCAGAGCCAGTATCACTACAACACTTTACAAACTGAATATGTATCCACATGTGAAATAATTCTGGTCCCTTGTGAAACGGAAGCAGTTTTTTGAGCAGTTTTCACAGTAAGAGTTAAACAGAACAAAACAAATTATAGAATTGGATTAGAAGATATACAAAAGATGTATAAAAACTGTCAAGGACAGATTTTATAAAAGAAACAGACTCTGCAGCCTCCAAACAAGTAGTTGTGGTAGGTTGACCTTGGCTGGATGCTAGGTGCCCACCCAGCTGCTCTATCACTCCCCTTCCCAGCCGGACATGGGAGAGAGTACGATGGAAAACAACTCGTGGGTTGGGATAAGGCAGTTTATGTAAAGTAGAAGCAAAGCACACTCTTGCCCATGCAAAAGAAAAGCAAAAAATAACATTTTATTCTCTGCTTCCCATCAGCAGCGATGGTCGGCCACTCCCAAGAAGCAGGACTTCAGCACACGTGACGGTCCCTCAGCAGGCAGCCATTGGAGACAATGAGTACCCTCTGCTTCCTGCTCCTTGCCTTAGCTTTTGTATCTGAGCTGACGTCATAAAGTATGGAATATCCCTTTGGTCAGTTTGGATCAGCTTTGGCCTACTTGGGTCCCTTCCTAGGATCTTGCCTTCGATTGAGGGAGGAATGTTACAGTGCTGATGCTGTGCTGAGCAGTAGCCAAAACACTGGTGTGTTATCGACACCCTTCTAGCTACCAAAGCAAAGCACAGCAGGGGCTATTAATGGGGAAATGGGGAAATGAACACCATCTCAGCCAGACCCAATACGCCAGTACAAATAAATATGATGGCAGACTGAAAAATCATTAATTGCAATGACTGCAGCTAGAATATTCCTAAAAGACTTTTTAAATTATTACTTTTGCATTTAGGTGTAGGAACAGATTTTCAATTTTCTGAATTTTCTGTTCAGTCCCCTTTTTTTTCTTAGTGTTTCTTTCACTCATTAAGTTGAAGGGTGATGCATTTCTGAGAGGTTATATTGGCAGGTGATATTTCTTGTACTACACACTACCACTTGAAAAAGTATAGTTAATCCAAAAGAATTTGAAGATGGGGTCAGATCCTTGTTGCTGAGAGACAGAGGAGCTCTTTGGTACATTGATCATTGTATATTGTCTCCCTCAATACAAACTAGAGGAGATATAATTGCAAGACTGATAAGAATTGCAAGGTGGTTTAGAAAATTGCTGATAATAATTTGTTGGAATAGATAAAAGGAATATTACATCAAAATGCAGAGACAATTCCAGATTTTCAAGACATTGGAAAAAATTCTAGGTAGAATATTTTCTTAGCAGTTGTTTTCATCCCATGAAGGGAAAAGCAGAAAAGCTGGAATGTCAGTTGTACTCTATGTTTTTAGTGTCAACTTTGTTTGGCTGAAAACAAGGTATTATGGAGTTGTAATGATAGATTATCTTCTAGTGCAGAAGGACTCCACGTAAGCATGATTTCTGGTGTCTCCTTAATGAAGAGACCAGTCGTTGCTTAAGGTAGGCTAGAGCAATTTGAAGTTGAAAGTACTTTTAAAATTTCCAGGCCATTAATTTTCACTGTTTAATAAATACATGTAGTAGACACATTATGGTATCATAGAGTATACTATGCTGATTGGGTCAAGAACTGGTTAACTGACTTAAAAATAAGGCATCAGTGGTTAGTCTTTACTACACAGGAGAATGAAGTTCCCCAGGGAACAGGACACTGTCCAGTGACACATAATAAGGAACTAATTATGTAATCACCAGTAATAAAATATGTGAGAGGCACAAAATTTATCACAATGGTAAATAATAATGAGAATGTAGGTGCCATAAAGTAATCTGAATAGCTTGATAAACCAGTTGTGTTCAAATGAACTATTTCTAATGCAACCAGATAGAAAGCTATTAATTTAATATTGGAGTTTGCAGAATAAGATTTTTTTCCTGAAAAGAAGAGATTCAAAAGATCTGAGTCCTAGTGGCAAGATAACCAGCTTTCAGAACAATGTTATAGCAATAAGAAATAATCTGCTTCTTGGAGGAGGAACAGAAAATTTAATTAGAGCCCATAGTTGATTTTACCATTGTGGGGAGTGCTATCAGGATATTCCCTATAATTCTGGTCTTTAGATATTTTTAAAAAAGGATAAAGTTGGGGAAAGTTAATGAAAAAAAGATTAGCAAAAATCATGAAACCATTGGAGAAAGTACCTTAAAGTGAAATACAGAACATATCAAAAAGAAGATTGTGAGGTGATTTGATTACAATGTGTAAGTATCTTCACAGAAAAAAATACATTAAGTACTACAGAGCTCTTTTATCTAGTGCAAGACATTGTAACAAGAACCAGTAGTTGGAAATTGAAACTTGATACTCGCATTGGAAATAAGTTGTTCGTGTTCATCAATTATGGAAGAAAAACTATCAATGCTACTGACAGGTTTTTCATCTCCTGATAGCTGGAAACCAAAACTGGGAAGTTTAGAAAAGTCTTTTACATCCTCGTATGGTATAAAAGAAGCAGCAGAAAGTTTTTCTGCTTAATTTAAACCACAGTGTAATTTAAGCATAAGAAACACTCAAGGATTCAAACAAAATGGTCCCTTGTAGAAATTCCACATGATTAACAGTCTTATAAAATTGTATCTTATATTCAAAATGATAAATCCTATTTGTTGTTATGACAATGTATAGTGGAGGTGCCATATTACAAATTTTCTTTCCTGATGATCAGGTTGTTGTATGCAGCTTCTGCAATATCCTCAGGAAGTTATAGCACTCTTGAGAGAAATGCTACACTCGCTCAAAGAAAATAAAAGCACTTTTTTCCTCTTCTTAATCTGGTGGCTGGATTTTAAGCAATGCCTTTCCATTCCTTCTACTCATGCTCACCTCAAACTGTCCATCATACTCCTCCTGTCTGATCACTGATTTCCGGTTGTTTCTGATCTTAAAATTCCTTTGTCTCTGCCTTTTTCTGCTGGCAGCATTGATAAGTATTTTCAGTCTCAAATGTTTCCTGGATTACTATTTGTTTTCCTTGAAAAAATTAAACTATTAACACCTTGTGGTCTGTGCAGATATTGAAGATCTAAATTTATTTCTATTTTATTCGGAAAGGAAGTGGAAAAAAAAAAAATCTCTAAAATTATGAAAATAGAATTAACTTCTTCAGTGTCGATCATGAATTTTGAAAATTTCTGAATTTTAACTTCTGAATACTATATCTGATTCTATTTGCTTCTTGTGTTGCTGGCCACCTGCTTATATATCATTTATGCTAAAGGAGCATGAAAGCACTGTTAGACTGAAGGAAAAAAGTAAAATAATAATCTAATCAGAAGTATCCCCAAAGGCAATATTACCAGATGTATAGCTGTGTAAGACATCTCAGGAGATTTGATAATTCATCAATAAAAAATGTTTTGTCCTGGAAATTGTTTCATCAAGGCTATTTTTTAAGGGGCATTTCTACTTTTGAAACTGGTGACTCTGGACTCCTTTCACACTTTCATCTCCTCCAAGAAAGATTTAAAAATCTTGGGTTCATCCAAACTTAAGAAACCCCTTTTTCTTCCTGTCATAAGGATCCTACCAATGGGAGCCTGTGCAATTGTGCTTTATGATTTCAGTCAAGACTGAAAAGAGGAAAAGTGATCTGTTTGAAAAATGGCCTCTGGGGTTCTTTGGGGGTAAGGCAGGCCATGTAGGATGAATCAGAAGCAGCTGACAGGAACATGGTTTGTACCACTGAATGAAAAAAATTATAATGCCTCGGTTTGATGAAGATGGTTTAAAGTCATTTTGATAAGATATTTTCAAACAGACATCCCAGGCTAGATTTGATGACATCTGTTATCCTGGGATCTGTAGCCCAGGACTCAAATTGGGGTTGGGCATGCTATAAACCCATTTCTGGAAGGTGATAGAATGATAACTAATATCTGTATGAGGGATAAGATCTTGAGGAAGAACTGTAATTCAATCAGTCTGGGATATGTAATATTGTCTCTATTCCTCTTCATAACAAGTTTTATAGTCAACTTTCCTAGAAATGTTCTAGAATTTATTTCTTTTTGTGAAGATTCTCATTCACACTTCTTACTATGTTCAGGATCAGGACATGGAACAATTTCTTTTCATAGCAGCAGTCTACATGACTGAAGGTTATTATCTTATCCTTGATTAGTCTTTTCCAAATAAGTAATTCCATCCTTTCAATCTTCTTAATATCTTTATCAAATCTCAGGGCTCACATTAATTTATCTAGTTGATCAAAACTCTTCTTGAGGTATGATGCCCAAATATGTTCCTTGAATTATGGTGCAGAACAAGACAAAGATAGCTTCCTGCATTTTCAAGATGACACTTGTATTTATTCCAATAGAACTGACATTTGTCTTTTTTTGCTACCTATAATTACTTATGTTTATAAGTCTCATGGTATTTTTTTTCCCATAGAAGTAAAAAAAAATAAAAAAATAAAATTAAAAAAAAAAAGAAAGATGACTTGTTAGATGTCATTTGGTAGAGAAAGGTCTTTAGTCCTATTCCAGTGCTATAGCCAGCTATTCATGTTGTTTTGTAATATGCTTGATTCCATTTTATTTTCAGAATATGTTTGCCACATTGACATGTGCATTTACTGTATGTTTCTCCCTGGCAGATCTGACTCCTGCAGACATGCTGCTTGGCAGACACTGTCCTGCCATCTACTGTGACATTGTGCATTACTATGGGTCATTCATAAGGAGCTCATAATAAATCACTCAGATATTTCCCCAAATATCAGATTACAGAGAATAAATACTAAGAAGATTTCATCTAGCAAAAAAAGGACAAAAAATAGTTTGAATCTAGAGATTGCATAAACTGTTTATGCAGAAACATTTAGCAGCCTATATGTCATTCCTATAGGCCTAATGCTGCAGGCTGATGTTCTTTTTGCTGTGGTCTGGATTGTGACCTGTACTTTTTTGTAAGTTGCATTAAGATCATTTATACGGGGAAATAGAAGAAATGGAAGCCTGGACTATTGGGAAAAATACGTTTAACATTTTTTAAGTGTCATCTAATATAATTGTATGATTTTCTGTTAAAGCTTTAATTCAGAGCATTTCTCTGACATTCTAGCCTTACAGTGGGAAACAAAACAGTCGAAAACCCTGAGTGTTTACTAGACAGTTGAAATACCTCATATATTTAAATGTCACTTATTAAATTATAGTGGATGATTTTTCCTACTGCAGATGTTTCAGTAAATAGGGGCAAAGAAGAAAGAAAGAGCTATGTAGAAACCTCATAAGTTTATTTGCTTTGCTCTATCCACTGGAACAGTGTGCGCGAAGGAGTTTTTTTCTTTGTTTCTTTACACTAATTAATTATTTGAATATATATTTGGGTAAAAATTCACCAGTTTTGTCAGAAGCTTGAGTAAGAAAAGTTCAGATATTTCTAAGACAGAATTCTGAGGAACATCATAGTCCAAATCAGTGCTACATTAGAAAAGATTTCAGCACAATGAATAAGCTGCTATTCTGAGTTGTAAGAGAGGCTGTTAGTTGTCCAAAATTAAACATCAAGGAGCAGTTTAGATGTCCGAGGTTATCCATCATGTGTCTACAGGAGTCCAAGAAAGCAGTTGGGGGGAAGCCAAACAATGAATGAAACCAAAATGGATGTGTGGGAGTCGAACATGAGCAAAAAATCTTGTGAAGTCCTGACCTAGTTCAACTTTAGCCTGGCAGGGTACCATTTTTTTATTACCCTTTAGACATAGCTAGTCTTTTTTCTATTTGTGGAATTGTGAAGATCTCTAACAAGAAAGATTTCCATTTCAGAATAGTCAGTAAAGAGATAAACCTGCAGAATAAATATCTCCAAACTTATCAGGGGAGGAACTTGAAACTCTTTTTTCCATAGCACAAATAATTGTCCTGATGATGGCTGACCTCCAGCATCCTGCATTTTCTCTCTATTTTACTCACTATAATTTTAATTGCAAAAGGGTTTGACTTAAACCCAATGTCAAACAGGAACAATTTTTGAATACTCAGAAATTGTTTTGCAATGAAAAAAACTACCAATCTACTCAAAAGCAAAAAGGCTTTTGCTACGTGGCAAGTACAAATATCAAAAATGAATATTTAGAGGTTCATACAATGTGCATTTAAAAAAATATCAAGTATGTTGAATCAGCAACAGGTTCATTTTATGGGCATTTGTAGTGTCAAGGCTATCATTAGGTAATACTGTGATAGTGTATAAGGAAGAAATCACACTGAAGCATAATTATTAACACCTATGGTAATGATATGATAGCATCTTGGAAACCTTGCTGTACTCGAAATTTCTGCAAAAATATAGTCCCTGTTCTGAAGAGCTCATAATCTTCATAGATCAGAGCAACAGTGGAAAAATAGTTGTGCAGATGAGCAGAGCTCTGTCTGTTGTTGAAAAAAAAAGTCAACACATATTGTTCATTGTCTAATTCTGCATTTGCAGAATCACACTGAACTGACAGTTTCTGAAGTGATATCTTGAGCACAGGTTCAACATTGGTATGTTTTTCTTCTATTGTTCTTTCCCTTCTTTGTGGAAAGCATATCCCTGTGTTTAAATGCTTCCTTTGGGTGATTAGTATCACATTTCATGTTGCCTCAATACCTTCTAGTAGTATCCAGCATAATGAAACCTACTTCAACAGTGACCTTATTTCAATCCTGCTGTATATATGTTATCTTGCATTATTTTTATGTCTGACTTCTTATTACTGCTTACTACCAGTTTTCTAACATCACATCCCTTTATTTTATCTCTGCTTCAGCTGTGTTTAATATTCCTTTCCATGCAATATCAGACTGATTATGACTGAATTCCATTAATATGCTCTTTGTTCTTTTAGATTATTGAAGACTGGAAATAAGAAGAGACATCACAGAGATTTCATTTATTCCAGTAAAAGCCTTTCAGCAAATTCACATTTTGTCATTGCTCATTAGCCTCTGTTTATATTTCTTCAACCACCATGCAGTTCAAGTGAAAGTACCTAAGTACTCTTATCTGAGTAAATAATGTTATGTATTTTGCAACAATTGCTCACTACCAGACATTTCTGCCTAGAGAGTATTCTTCGTACAGAAGATAATTGTAGTCAAATAATTTTGAGTGAAACTAGGAATGCTATTTCATGACAATGCTTATGTATTTTGTCCACACAAGGTATAATAGTATCAAAATATGATCATACTAGGTGGATGTGCTAATTTTAAATATTGCTCTGTAACTCTACCCAGCTACAAAATATATTAGCTATAGCTATAAAATGTAATAGAATTACATCCTTATTGACACAGCTGTATCAGCATTACTACTGCCACAAAAGGAAACATTTTCAGCTTGCTTGCTCTTAATCTGTGGTGCATTTTCCAATTTGTGCAGGCTATTTTCAATCATTGTGCATTTATTTGTAAAGCAGTAGCCCAAGGGCACAAATCACTACGTATATACACACAGGCATATAGAGATACACACAAAGATGTATAGACATATTTTAGGTATATAGAGACACATATATGTATATGTGTGTCTAAATTTAAATGTAATTAATCTGCTTTCACACAGCTATTTGTTATATTTAAGATACAAAACATATTCAAACATTTATTTAAGATATTCTTCTAATTTTTATGTCCGCATTTGGGCAGTGAGTTACTCTATTTTCACAAGTGTTACTCTGACTTCCTAGCGAAAGTTTCAGTAATTTCCAGTACAGCTGTACAAAATCCCACTTGTTACCTTTCTTACATTCATGACACATAAATATAAATACAGATGCTAATTGCATCACATTTCCTGAGCTCTTAGTACTGTTGCATTTCAGAACATTTTCATTATACCTTTAGGAAGCTGATGTAATGAAATTGCCAACTGAAAAGTCATCCTTAATTTATTGTCTATGAGAATAGTTTCAATATGCAGACAACACCAAGTTGGGTGGGAGTGTTGAACTTCTGGAGGACAGGAAGGCTCTGCAGAGGGATCTGGACAGGCTGGATTGATTGGTTGAGGCCAGTTGTACGAGATTTACCAGTACCAAAGGTCAGGTCCTGCACTTGGGTCACAATAACCCCATACAGCTCTACACACTGCGGAAAAGTGGCTGGAAAGCTTCCCAGCAGAAAGAAATCTGGAGGTAGTGGTCAACCACATCCAAACAAGAGCCAACAGTGTGCCAAGGTGGCCAAGAAGGTAAATGGTATCTTGGTCTATATCAAGAATAGTGTGGCCAGAAGGACCAGGGCAGTGATCATCCCACTGTACTTGACACTTGTTAGGCTGCATCTCAAATCCTGTGTTTATTTCTGGGCCCCTCACAGCAAGAAAGACATTGAGGACCTGGAGCTTGTCCAGAGAAGGGCAATGAAGCTGGTGAAGGGACTGGAGCACAAGTTATATGGGGAGTGGTTGAGGAACCTGGGCTTGTTTAGCCTGGAGAAAAGGAGACTGAGGGGAGACCTCACTACAACTACCTGAAAGGAAGTTGTCGCCTGGTGCGGGTCAGCCTCCTCCCAGGCTATGACAGGACAGGGGGAAATGGCCTTGAGTTGCACCAGGGAAGGGTTATCAAGCATCGGAACATGATGGCCAGGGCAGTGGCGAGTCACCATCCCTGGAGGTATTTAAAAGACATGTGGATATGGCACTTGAGGACATGTTTTAGCGGTGGACTTGGCAGTGCTCAGTTAACAGTTGGACTCAATGATCTTAGAAGTCTTTTCCAACCTAATTGATTCTATGGCTCTACAATAATTTGAGAAAAGAAAAGTCATCAATTTTATTTTTAATTATGGAGTTTGTCTTACTGGAAGAAAAACTTTATTTCTAGATAAAAGGAAGGAAAAACTTGGGACACAGGACTGGAATTGCTTTAAATTATTCGATTTGGAACTGCAGTGAGGTTAAAAGACAAAGGGAGTTCCCATCTGAACAAAGACACCCTCATTTTTCATTGTCATATCTCATTAGAGCTAGCTGATGTGAATTCAACAGTAATGTGCATTTCCTTCGGCAGGAAAGGCATTCAGATGTATTCTTAAAAAAAGATCAGCTTAGCCGTAGAGTTTCAGGTACTGAAACATTTTACTTCATATACTAAATACAGACACAGAAGCATCCAAAACTACTAGTCCCACTCTCTGAACAAGTACGTTTGCAGAAATACATAGAACAGAAGGAACAGGAAAGGAACAGGGAAGGAACAGAAGGGACAGTTGGACAAGCAAATGGGAACAGAATTTGATAGGCAACTGAATAAAGACACAGACTGAGTTACTAGTTCTAATTTCCACATTAATAGGCATTGAGGATTTTATTTGCAATTACTCCTTAAATTATTTATAAGTTTAAATTAGCAACAGTTCTAAAACACATAACAGTTAATATCACTAAAATAACTCCTAGAGTGACCATTACTGCAAACATGCCAAATTACCAAATAAAAGAATTTTCATACATTAAACACATAAAATATCACATTTAAAATTATTAGCTTACAGGGTTTTTAAATTGCGATAGCTGCCAGCTTCAATATTAAATGTCAAATTTTGATGAATTCAAATTGCATTATTGTAAAATCAAGATAGCTGCCAAGTACATTTTATTAGGGAAGTTTTTAGGGCCAGGAACATAACAGAAAATCCTTTGTGTCTAAGAAAAAATGTTTTTTTCTCCAGTTACGTCAGTCTGAAATATCAGCCTCTACAGTTTGTTGTTGCTTCCATGCACTCAGGATGATGATATTTATTGTGCTCAGTTTTGTATGAGTTGAAAAGTCTAGTCAGCAGCAGAACATGCAATAAGTTGAGTTACTAGAATCATAGAATTGTATAATACTTGGAAGGAACCTGAAAGATCATCTAATTCCAACCCTACTGCCATGGGCAGGGACATCTTTCAGTAGACCAGGTTGCTCAAAGCCCCATCCAACCTGTCTTTGAACAGTCACAGGGATGGGGCATCCACAACTTCTCTGGGCAACCTGTTCCAGTGTCTCACCACCCTCAGATTGAAGAATTTCTTCATATATCTAATCTAAACCTACTGTCCTTCTTATCCTGTCAGTATCTTCCCTTGTAAATAGTCTCTCTCCGTCTTTCTTCAGGTACTGGAAGGCTGCGATTAGGTCATCCCAAAGCCTTCTCTTTTTCAGGCTGAACAATCCCAGTTCTCTCAGCCTTTCCTCATAGGAATGGAGCTCCATCCCTCTAGTCATGTTGGTGGCCCTCCTCTGGACTCTCTCCAACAGGTCAGTGTCTTCCCTGTGCTGCGGACCCCAGAGCTGGATGCAGTATGCCAGGTAGGGTCTCATCACAGTAGAGCAGAGGGACAGAATCACCTCCCTCAATCTGCTGGCCATGCTGTTTTTGATGCAGCCCAGGATACGGTTGGCTTTCTGGGCTGCAAGTGTACATTACAGAATCACAGGATAAATTAGGTTGCAAAAGACCCCTGAGATCATTAAGTCCAACCTATGACCTAACATCACCATGACAACTGGACCATGGCACTAAGTGCCACATCCAGTCTTTCTTTAAACACCTCTGAGAACAGTGACTCCATCACTTGGGCAGCCCATTTCAGTATCTAATCACCTTTTCTGTGAAGAAATGCTTCTTAATATCCAACCTAAATCTCCTCCAGCACAGTTTAAGACAGTGTCCTCCTGTCCTTATCTTATTCAACACCCAACATGTAGCCTGAGGGTGTTGGATGTGCATGCGCTAAGCCCCTGGGTGGCCACTCAGCACATTGTTAGCAAAGCACACTGCTGATTGAGCCATGAGCACCAATAGTCCAGTCTCTTGCAGCACCTGGACAGTCAATGCAGGTGGTCAAATGTTTGAGTTATTAATCACTAGCAGTTCTGTCTCTTTAAAGAAGACTAAACATCAAAAAGTCAAAAAGGCATATCTGGAGAAAAGAGAAGAGAAAAGAAAAAGTGGATACCAAAATTTTTGTGTAACCCATGACAACTAGCCATTCTGGAGCTTGATTAGGGGCTTCTGGTGTGCCAGTAACTGACAGCAAAACTGGGGCTGGACTGGAGGCTCCAGAGGAGGCAGGGTAAGGAATAGAATGTCATTCCACCTTTGCAGAACTTGATCTGTCCTCTCTCCCACACTCAACTTTGTTGTTTCGATACAGTAATAATTTTTTCAGTCTCTCACAGAACTGCAGACAGTACTTGAAGTGTGGCTTCAGCAGTGCCGAGTCGCACTTCAGCAGGGAAGAGTCGCTGTTCTGGTCCTTCTGGCCACACTGTTCCTGATACAGGCCAGGATGCCACTGACATTCGTGACCACCTGGGCACACTGCTGGCTCATTCAGCAGATCGTCAACCAGCACCCCCAGGTCCTTTTCCGCTTTCTAACCACAGGCTGTAGCACTGCATCTTGGTCTTGTTGAACCTTATGCCACTGGTCTTGGTCCATCTATTCTAGCCTGTCCAGGTTGCTCTGCAGAGCCTTCCTACCCTCCAGCACCCCCCACCAATTGATACTCTTGCCCAACTTGGTGTTGTCTGCAAATTTGCTAATGGTAGACTCAATCCTCTCATCCAGGTCATCAATAAAGATATTAAGCAGAACTGGGCCCAAAACTGATCCTTATGGGACACCACTAATGACTGGATGCCAATTGGATGCAGTGCCATTCACCACCACTCTCTGGCCAGTTTTTAACCCAGAGAAGAGTGCACTTGTCCAAGCTGTGGGCTGTCAGCTTTTCCAGGAGTATGCTATGGGCAATATGTTAAAGGCTTTGCTGAAGTCCAGGTAGACTACATGTACAGCCTTCCCCTCATCCACCAGGCAGGTCACCTAGTCATGAAAGGAGATCAGGTTGGTCAGGCTGGACCTCTCCTAAATCCATGCTGGCTGGGTCTGATTCCTTGTTTGTC